ATCAGCAAGTTAGCAACAGATCATAATAATGTTAGCTATAATGCGAGAGGATGTGGATTTGACTAAGAAATTTTTGTGGGATATAATAGCCAGATGACAAGAGAATGAAACCCTTTGGGAAGGTTCTCGTGTGTGCCATCCCACCCACATCTGAAGGAGAAGCCACGTGAAACAGGAAAGGAGAAAGGAACCATTTTGGGGAAGTTAGGGCCTCAGCTATTATTGCTCTTACTGGACTGGGGCAGTGGTGAGAAGGGTGCACGCAAATCTTCTAATCTGGCTTCCCTGGAAATGTGTTAGTCTGAGCCCCACATTTGTTTTCTCCTTTTACGTTTCCCTGCTTCCTCCAAATGAATGCAGAGTGGGTGCTCACCCAGCATTGTAGTATGTTTTCACAGACCCACAGCGAACAGAATAATCTTTAATCCTAGGATTTGGGGCAGGGGGAGGGTAAACCTGTTGTGAATCCCAGGCTAGGCCCACCTTTTGCATACTCTGGAGGCATGCTCTCTTGGGAGTGAGGGTAGTACTGGGCTTTGTTATCCTCTCTTGTTTCAAAAAAAAGTTAAAAAAGGAAGACTGATCATCTTTGGTCACTTAAAAAAAAATGGTGTAAGTCCAAATTTGAATATTACTCTGTGGTGGACAAGTTAGTTTTTTTTAAGAGTTTGTTTCAGAGTGGCATTTATTAATCTCTGAGGCAGGAAAAGGAGGTCAGCATAGTTCTCTGAGAACGATCTCACCCCACCACATTGCCACCAGCATTTTCCTCCCAGCCCTGGGCTCTAAAGCCCCCTTTGCATGAAATTGCATAGGAGGCTGAGTCTGCAGCCACCACAGTCCCTTTGGGAAGTCCTAAGATTGACAAATGTAAATAGCAACAAGGCCAACAAATTATCTTTTTTTCTTTATCTCATCTTATTTCTTTATGTGTGTGTTCAGTGGTTGTTAATTTCACAAAATTGCAGAGTCATGGCTCTGGGAATGTGTGCCCAGATTTTCTGTGTGTTTCACAATATTGATATAGAGAGGCTACATAGTCCTGAGAAGAAAAGAACTTTGCTCTTTTTGGCTAAGAGCCTGGCAAGGGAAGGAGAGTTTCTCATCTGAGAGAGGAAGACTCTTCTCTAATAGATACTGTGGAGGAAAAAACAGTTCAGGAATGAGATTTGACAGCGAAAGACATCCAGAAGACCAGAACTGTCTAGAACAGCAGTCTTCAACCATTTTGGCATTAGGAACTGGCTGCATGGAAAACAATTTTTCCACAGATGGGGAGCATCATCAGTCATTAGATTATCATAAGGGAGTGTTCAACCTGAATCCCTCGCATGCACAATTTGTACCCCTAGAGAATCTAATACCCCCACTAATCTGAAAGTGGAGCTTCACCATCTGCCACTGACCACCTACTGTGCAGCCCGGTTCCCAATAGGCCATGGACCAGTACCAGTCTGTGGTCTGGGGATTGGGGACCCCTGGTCTAGAATACCCTCCTTGATGGTGGGTAGTCCATGAGGCGAACAGTTGAGAAAACCAAGTTTCAGTCTTGATCTTTCACTGTGAATCTGATTCGTGTTACTCTATCTCTCTGGGCCTGTTTCTTTATATGCTAAATGTCCCCAAAATTATTTTTCTCTATCTTAGGCTTTTTCAGATCAAATGAGGTAAAGTATGTGAAAGCTTTTTGAAAATGCTAAAATAGTGTTCTCAGTGCCTAGAACAGTACCAAAGTGGGAACTTTATTATTTACCACTTATGTAGCACTTGGCAGTTTCCAGTACTTTCCTAAGCATTTTACACTTCACTCAGTTAATGCTCACAAGAATCATGTGATATAGGAGTTATTATTAGCCTTGTTCAACAGGTAAAGTGACTGCGCCCAAGAGAAGTAAGTCACAGTTAGAAGTGGCAGAGTTCAGATCCACCCAAACTCCAATGTGGTTCCAGAGTTTGTGTGTACTTGACACTCTACCTGTGTCCTTTTAGAAGACAGCCACCTCCACATTAGGGGACTGAGCTCTGGTCTCTGACTTAATCCATGCTACAAATGACTACAATTTCATAATGGTCTTACCTTTACTACTCATCACCTGGGCCTCAGGTACCTGGGAAATGGAAGATATTGTCTGGGAGAGATGAGTCATTAATCCGATGAAAGACGATTGTTAGCCTGGCTCTTAAAACCACAGACATAAGGAGTTTAACCACATTCTTGGTGATTGAGAAACTCTTCGTGGGAGGTGTGCTTTCTATGTGTTATTCACTTTTAAAGGAAAAAAGCCTCCTCTTTGCTCTTTTTGTCCCAGTTGCAGACATCTTTATGTTATTTTCCCACTAAGAGTTCTAGAAGGTATGTGTTATTCACTTTTAAAGGAAAAAAGCCTCCTCTTTGCTCTTTTTGTCCCAGTTGCAGACATCTTTATGTTATTTTCCCACTAAGAGTTCTAGAAGGCTTCTGCAATACTGATTTTCACTGAGGGGGGAAAAAGTACACTGAACTTTTGTTCCATCCCTAAATAAATTTCCTTCTGGAAACATTAGTAGAGACACATAGAGACTTTTTTAGTTTTAAAATTATTGTTAGTTACAACTTCCTACTTGATAAACTTTTCTTAATTTTTGAAAAATTAGCATTTCTGCTGTATTACTTTTACCTGCTCAATACTAGAACAAGAGCAGATATGTTAAATGTCATTGAAAGTACTAGCTTGTGCTGAGCTTTCAAGCACTATACTGTGCTTTCAATACTATGAATTGTGGAGGTGATTAATTTATCACATGTGAGATTTAAGAAAAAAACTAGAATAATGGCTTTTGTTGGTCTAAATCTAAGGAGTACATTTTAGTTTAAGAAAACAAAACTAAGAGTTTACTTAGGAACCTTTCTTTATCTGTAAATTGGGGCTGATAATTAGCATAATTGGAAGAGGAAAGAAGATGACAGATTTGAGGGGTCCCAGCCATGCCTGCCACAGAGTAGGCATTCATTTAATGTCAACTGGATCAGAAGTTAAGTGGAATTAACGGTTGAGAGCAGAATTAAGCAAGTCTCTTCAGGGAGACAGTACAACGTGTTGAGTGTAGGGGATGTGAGGTCAGAGACCTAGATTTTTGTCCCAGTTTTGCTGCTTACATCTCTTATTTGCGTTTTCTTCATCCATGAAATGGATATAGTTATGCCAATTACAATATAGTTATAAAGGTTGTATAAGGTGTTGCACATAATGTACACGACATAATTGAACACATAGGAAACTTGTAAATTTAACTATATGTATATGGTTTATATCACATTCAATAACAACACATAGACATCTATATGACCAGTAACAATATTTACAGACATAGATACAGATTTATAGATCATTGGTAACTTGATAGAATGATCCAAATCTGATAGATGTCAGTCTAATAAGGTCACAGGCAGAGGTTGTGCTCCAAAGGCAGGAACAGACATCATGTAGAAGTTTAGTACTACATGCTAAGCAGGTTAAATAGTGTCTAAGCTTGGGTATGAGAAAAGATGTGTGTTTCTGTGAAACGATGGAAGAAGCAGATCGCAGGACTGATAAAAGAACACAGGGATCTTACAAAGAATGAATGTCAGATAGGGCCGAGAGTTTAAATTTTATGTCTTACCCTAAATTCCTACCTGCTTTGACGTCGGTGTCCCCAGTTGCTTTAGCTTGCCTCCTGAGCACATTCCCAGTTATATTTCCAACTCCAGACATACATAGATAGCTATATTCCTTTACTTGACAGCTTTTAGGTGGATATAATATGGAATGTGAAATGACCTGAAGAGTTATATAACAGCGAATTCTCTTTCCCTTATTCCTTCCATGAAAGTACCATAAATGCTAATTCCTTACCTTGCATTTGCAAGCCTGTTATTTTGATGTTTCCATTATCCTGCTTCTCCTTATTCACCTGTCTTGGTACTGATGATGATGATGATGATGATGATCACGATAAGGATACCTTAAATTTTACTGAGGGTTTTTTATGACCCAGTTGCTGTGCTGAGTATAATTAACATGTTATTTCAATTAAATTTGACAACATACCCTTAAGTTAGAAATTGTTACTGTTCCTATCTTTTTTTTTTTTTTTTTCATTAATCAGTATTTTTTATTATGGTTTTGTGGGGTACAGTTAAGGGTTAGGTGTACAATGACGTTTCATTCAGGCACCCTGTAGATAAGAAGTGTTTTCCCATCCCCCGACAGATATTTGCTACTGTTAATCCCATCCCCCTCCCCCCCATAGTTTCCCAGTACCATCAGTCATTTTCTCATAGTATTGCATTGGATGTTCAAGGACCATTATATGAGTGAGAACATGTGATATTCGGATTTTTGTTTTTGTGAGAGGTCACTCAGTATTATAGACTTGTTCCTATCTTATACATGAAGAAATTTAGACTCAGAGAGGCCGAGTTCCCCTGCAAGGGTAATAGATAAATAGTGGGACTGGAATTCAAGTCCTGGAACCTGGGATTTTTTTTTTTTTTTTTTTTTTAGTATGACTGAAATGACAAAAAACTGTAAGTTCAGTTTCTAAAGCGGAATATGTTAGAACTCAGGCCTTCTTAATAAAACATCAGTGATGCTACTATATACATAGTTTGATATTTCTAAAGAGATCAATCTATGACTTCTGGTCTTTTGCATTCAACCTGTAGTTCATCTTAATACAAGTATATGACTTTAGTCTTTCTTCAGGGCATTTTGGCTAGTTAGTTTTGCTTGTAATATATCCTATTTTCAATGTATTTGTTTGATGCCTTTAAGCTTAATGGCATATAACTAGAGAAAACGTAATACTATTTATGTTGAAATTTTTAAAACTAAATGATTATTTCTTCACACATCGCCCAAGATATTTTTAAGACCAGCATAGTTAATGCTGTAACATAAGCAAATCAAATGATCATTAATTTATTTGGGGTATTTATGTGTACTTTTTCCCATCTTGTCTAAATTTTTTTTTAAATTCCAGGTCAAAATTGAAAAAAATGGTTGATCTCACCGAGCTAATGGAAAATGAGGTATTCATGGCCTTCGCCTCCTATACAACAATTATTCTTTCAAAAATGATGTTAATGAGTACTACAACTGCATTCTATAGAATCACAAGAAAGGTAAGAAATTGGGAGGTAATATTTTCTTATAAGAGTTGGAATTTTGGAAAGCAGTTTTTTAAATTTACTTTTTCTTTTTGGTACAGCCAATTGCACAGTGTTTAATGCAGTGAGGTGTGCAGCCATTTGTTACAGATGACTCTGATATATTTATGGACCAGTTGCTTTCTCTTAGAAACTAGAAAATATTTTTTCATTGTGAATTTTACCTTTGTCATTTTTCTTAGCCCATGAACTTTCTGGAGTATTAAGGTTTTCAAGCAAACTTTCTATGATTTTGGAATTAATTTTGCCAATTAAGGTTTAGAAAATCGTCATTTTCCAGGCAGCTAGTATTTCAGCTCTATTATGGGTCAAGAGTATACTTTTAGTTAAAAGAAGAAGGAAGTGGGAGTGGGGTGGGGGCAGGTGGTGGGAATAAAAAAAACGGCCGAGAATATTTTTTTTTTTATTTTTTGAGTTAGAGTCTCACTCTGTTGCCCAGACTGGAGTGCAGTGGCCACTCCCGGCCCCCGCAGCCTCCACCTGCTGGGCTCCGGTGATCCTTCCGCCTCAGCCTTCTGAGTAGCTGGAATTACAGGCATGCACTACCACACCCAGCTGATTTTTTGATTTATTGTAGAGATGAGGTCTCGCTGCCCAGGCGGGTCTCGAACCCGCGGCAATCCACTCACCTCAGCCTCCCAAAGGTGCAGGATTACTGGCTGAGCCACCGAGCCCGGCTAAAGTTCTTATTCCTACAGTAGAGCCTCTTATGATTAGGATGAGCCATTTGAATTTTGTATGCTTCTGACTTCTTAAGTGGGTACTAGTTCTACTCAATATTATAAGAACGACTTAAAAAAATGCAGGCGTGGGGAAGGTGGTAGACAGATTTAGAAGCACAGATTCAGAATTTAAGCAGGGTTTATGACACAGTGAAAGGGGTAGAGCAAGACTGCCTGGGCAAAGTTAAAAGATTTTCGTTGGTATGGTCCCTGTGCCTATTCAGCAACTTCTTTCTGGAAACTACCTATTTCTCTCTTGGGGCCTGTCCTGAGTTTTTGTCCTCTGGATCCTTGATTTTATCTAGAGGTCACAGTCTTCCTTAAGGTGTTTCCTTGTTAGTATCTTGAAGTATAATGGAAGGATAGATGCATTTGAATGGGGGCACTTACTCACATGGTTGAGACTCTGATGGGTTGATATGTTGGAACAGCAGGCCACAAAATGGCTATCTGCCACCAGATTCATACTGTCCTCTAGAAACAGAATGACGCCAAGGAAATGTACTCTGCCCTATAAGCAAATAAATGAGAATTCAAATTTGTAGAGTGCCAGTAGGCACAATGCTTTTTATATGTGTTTGATCACTGAATCATTTTTACAGCAATTGTTAGCACTGTCAGGTGAAATGAGAGTTGGTCTCCCCATTTTATAGAAGAACTGAAAGATAAAGAGGTTAGTTGACTGAGTCAATATGGGTTATTACAGAATGCCATAGACTGAGTGGTTTAAGCAAGCAACATTTATCTGTCACAGTTCTGGAGCCTGAGAAGTCCAAGATCGAGATTCTGGCAGATCCAATGTCTAGTGAGGGCCCGACTTCTGATTTGAAGATTTGAAGATGGCTGTCCACCTTCTTTCACATGGAGGTGGGGGAGAGTGCACAAGAGAAAGGCACAAACTCTCCTCTGTCTCTTCTTTTTTTTTTTTTTTTGAGTTGGAGTCTCACTTGGTTGCCCAGGCTGGAGTGCAGTGGCACACTCATGGCCACCCCAGTGTCAACCTGCTGGGCTCCGGCAATCCTTCCATCTCAGCCTTCCAAGTAGCCGGAACTACAGGTGCTCACTACTATGCCTGGCTAATTTTTTGATTTATTGTAGAGACGAGGTCTCACCAAGTTGCCTGGGCTAGTCTCAAACCCATGGGCTCAAGCAATCCACTGGCCTCAACCTCCCAAAGTGCGGGGATTACAGGTTGAGTCACCGAGCCTGGCCTGTCTCTTCTTATAAGGGCACTAATTCCACTCATGAGGTCTCTGCTTTCATGACCTATTTCACCTCCTAAAGGCCCCACCTCTAAATTCTATCTCATTGGGGATTAGGCTTCAATGTATGAGTTTTAGCTGGGTACAAACATTCAGTCCTTAGCAATCCCTTACCCAAGGTTGCATATAAGTAAAGGGTGAGACTGAGATTCACACTGAGATTGCTTTAAACCCTAATCTTCTGCACTCTCCATTATAATATATTGATTTCTTGACTCAAGATGCATTTATGATGTGTGCCAGGCACTTATATAGACAGCACTGTAATAAATAAGACAGACAGGCCTGACCTCAGGAGCTGATACTGTATCACATTACTCCACATCAGTCCTTGGCAACATCTTTATCTGGAATAAATGCTCATATTGTATTCAGAAAAAAATATGTAATATTTATGAGTTTTTTAAAGTGTAAATTAAGACTAATTTTGCAGTTTATGCTTTTCTTTATCCTAAATTATTGAAGTGGGATGTGCTTAAGTATTTTTTAAATACATATCTAAAGTTTCAAGGGATGGGTAAGTATTTCAAATTGCAAGAAGTAATACATGAACAGGTACTTATTATTTTCAGGAATGCAATTCAGTTTCTGAAGTTTCAATACACAGTATTGTTTAACATCAAATTTTATCCGGTTTAGAAAAAGAAAAGAAGTACACGCATCCTAACAAAAGACCAAATACTTTTCCCATCCTTCACTCTTCTATGCTTCTTGCCTGTTCTCTCACATCTCAGACAAGTACGGTTACTACTTTTAGATGAGCCAATCACTTGGAAATGTGAATATTCTTGAGAGAAAGTATGTCAATACCAATCTGAAAGAGATGCCAGTGAACATTAATACTACTGATGACTTAGAATTGTGCCTCTTCTCCATTTTACTTTCTTTTCACACACTGTTTTCTATTTAGGGTCTTATTTATACTTCTCTTTTAAAAATTGTGCATTGTTAATAAAAATTCAAGTTTAAACTATAGATGCTCTCCCCTTCCCCATTTACTATTCCAAATTTTCTTTCCATAAGTACCAACCTGGATGCCTCTATTTCTTTTGTTAAAATGTAAATAGCTTATTAGGTAGACTACCCCCCACATTATTTGGAATAAGTTTTTTTCTTGGTCCTTGAAATAGGTTTTTGCCAACCCAGAAGACTGTGGAGGCTTTGGCAAAGGAGAAAATGCCAAGAAGTATCTTCGGACAGATGACAGAGTGGAACGTGTACGAAGGTAAACCACTATCTCTTGAAATTATTTACTTGATCAAATAATTTAGATCAAGGAGTTTGGTGAAGACGTCGGGTCTTGGAGAAGAAGGAAAGAAAGGCATCTTATCTACTCCATATAATAACTACAGAAAATTAGGGATCTAAAAGTTTCCAAGTATCACAGCAATTGCACATATTGCCAATTTTGTATCCTGTACTTTTATCTGCACTGTTGGAGCTAATGACTTTGCTCTGAATAGGGATATGTCAAAAGTCATGGCAGGTGGGAGGTAAAACGGGGACAGAAGATTCTTGCAGTTTTATCATCTTTCTCCAGAGGTAAGACTGTCAACTCATGTGAAAAGTCGAAGAACTAGGTTTTTGCGTAAGTTTCAAAATAAGAATGCTGACATTTTTTAGAGAAATAGGGAAATTTCTTCTCTTCTCTCTCTCTCTCTTCTTTGTAGATATCATGTTTTATGTACCAGAAATTCAGTGAACAATGAAAAGTAATAAGCCAAGATACAATTTACATAGCTTCCTAATAATAAAATTAACATACTTATTTTAAAAACAGGTTGAATTCTAGTTTTGAAGGTGTGTTTCTTAATCTTTGTCTCAAAATCATGTAAATTACAATATATTTTGTATTAAGATTCAAAATGTGATATAATTCTCGGCACATGCCAAGAAATAAATGAAATTATATTTATTCATTAATATTAAAGAATCAGTGAAGGGTTTTTATAGCCATAGTTAAATGTGCAGATGTTTAGTTTTTTGGTGAATAGGTTAGATAGGAAATCAAATGAGTATATTGGAACACACTTTCTCAATTTGGTGAGTATGAATCGATAGTGAAATGAATACTGAAAGAAGACTTTTACTTTTGTAATTCAGGTAACAGCTAGTGTCTATAGTCTCTTTAGGATCTAGGTCATACTTACATCATTTCTTTTTCCAGTCCCTGTGAAAATCAGAAGCCCCTCCCAAGATTTCTGCAGACTTCCTTTATGGTATATGGTCCCAGGATTCACTCTGGATCTGGGTTCCTGCATCTGTGCTGTTTCCACATTCTTCATTTTATTAGCTGGATGTAAACCCAGCCCTTTTTTCAGTTCCCTCCACAAATCAACTAAAAGAAATGTGGATAAAAATAGACTTGACTAAGTGGAAGTGCAGAGGAGTTTACACTATGGCAACACAAACATTTCAAGTTGTGTGTTAGACCTCTGTGTCTGACAGCATCCTTCAGAGCCCTTTCTCTGGGGAATCTGCCCCATGCCTGTACCTTCTTCATGCAAGTGGTACCTCTCATTACACTGTCTCCCTGGCTCCCCGTCTTGTCCCACGTACTCTTAAGTCCTTTCAAGACTAAAATTAAATGTGTCTTCTTGCTCATGCAAAACAGTTCTACCCTGAAGCTATTTATCAAGCAAAAATGTTTTGCTTCTAAGAGAAAGTCTGAGCTAGATTCTTAGAACAAAATTTCACCTCTGTTTCACATAGTTATATGCTTGTGAATTCAGCAGTCCTACTGAGTAAATCAGCCAGTTTTGAAAAATGGGTTGTGCCAAGAAAATGGATGTAAAATAGTCTCAGGACAAGGAGTCAATGTGAAACTATTAAACAACACCAAAACAGAATCAGAGGAAAAATTATGAAGGTTATAATGAAAAAGAGTAAAAATCAAAATAGGTGAATAGAAGCTTGGAGTTTTCAAAACCACTGGAGAGACATGAAGCAGTTTAAAGTTTTGTTTTGTCTTTTGTAGGATTTGTTTTTAGAACAGTCAGCCACAGGTGTGTTGCTAATCATGGCCCTATACTCATACAATTGCCTGGGACAGGAGGATCATAGCAATGAGATCCTTAGTAGCATTATAATGAAAGGTTGAAATGAAGATTCAAGTAAGTCTTCTGTGTGAAAAGATATTTTATTTGAGGATTTTAGATTCCTCCCCACTATTCTTTCCCATCTCTCACCCCCTGACCATGAGATTGTACTTTTAGAGGAGAAAGCCATTATCTAAGTTAATCCTCAAGTCAGGTTGCACTTGAATTTTAGAGCAATTGACCTTAGTTCTGAAAGGGTTCAGTGTCCTTTGAGGAGGTGCAGCGACTGTGTGCACAGTGCCCCCTGGTGATCTGACACTGACTTTTTCGTGTGGCAAAAGGAGCATCTTCTAAGACGAGCAGTCCAGTTTCCAGTTGTATTTTTTGAAGACTTTACCTGGCCCATCAAGAAAGTTTCTAATAGCAACACACTGTTGGAGATACTTTTCAGGGAAAGAGTTTCGAGGCTCTCCTCTTTCCATTTTTTTACTTAGACTTTTTCCCTCTCTCTTTACTACAAAACGTGTCATTGTAAGGCTGTTACTCTTATTATATTTCAATAATAGGAACAGAATGGGGCCAAAAATAAAGTAAACAGTATGCTTGATAGTGTGCAATAATTGAGAAAATTAATACATGGACACATGGAACAATTAATTAAAAATTTAAAGTAATGTGTGTTGAGATATCAAGATATGTGGCTTAAAGTAAGTTATTTGAGTTTGGGGCAGACAGAAATTGGTGATGGCTAGAGTAAACCTTACATATTTATTTATTTAATTCTCTCTTACCTTGTTCTAGAAAGCATTCAAGACCATCTATATTCAATACAATATAAAAAGAAAGTTGAAAGGCAAACCAGGCTGCTAGTAAAATAGAGCAAGTCATTCAAAAGACAAAAAGTAAGACTTGGGTTTGATATTTAGGGAAAGGAGAGACATTTAGAATATACTGCCTTTAAAGATAGAGAACACCCCTTCACTGAGAGTGTTTAATGAAATCTAAGTGACACTTGTTGGGGATTCTGTCAAGAGACTGGATCACGGGCTAGAGGTTAAACTGGATGCTGTTCCTGTGATCCCAGCACACGAACAAAGCATTTATGAAGCGATTATTATCTATGTATCACTGTTGCTTCTCCTGGAGTGATATCAAAGAGCTTTAATACTAGATTTCTGCCCCTCAGGAACGTTTCTCCTGAAAGTAAGACCCACATGCACATAACAATTAGAGAATGATCTAAAGAATGTTCCTTCCATTAGATGTTGAGGTGGTGGAGTAAAGGGATAACTTCCCAGTGTATTTAGGAATATTTCATGAAGGAAGACTTTGAAGAGTATTAGGATTTGAAAGGAGGAAGAGGAGAGGAGAAGTCATGTCAATTTGGGAAATTTCCTTTGTGGGAAGTTGGGCACACTACTATATGCTGAGAGTGAATAACTTTGGCTTAGATGAGGGAGTCAAGAAAAGTCTGTGATAGAGCTCTGTTTGTAGTTGGGTTGGCCACCCCCTGGCATTTCTGAAATGTGTGTAGCAACTCTAGTCCAGTTCAGGTGAATGCTGGGAGCCAAGTGATTCTGATCTGAAGGAATGAGGTATGATTGTGGCCTCATGAACACAAGGCTGATAGAAGGGTCTGTCACAGACCAAGTGTGTACCCAAGGGGCGTCTGTCCCTTGATAAGAAAAATGGGAACATGGAATCTTAGTGGAGAAGGGTTAATAGACACAGGTAGAAAGTGGTCATACAGGAAGACTGATGTCCACCTGGTAATAGATTTTGGCAGCTGTCTATAAAAGACACTAAGTGAAGGAAGTGAAGGAAGCTGCCACTCTAGAAAGGGTTCTGCCATTTGAGCAGAAGGAAGGGTTAGAGTGGAAGCTGATACTGAACTACAGCACATACTCATGGGGAGTGCTGAGGAAGCATGTGTCTGGAATGGGGTCTAAAAAGAACAGCATATAAAATGGTATAAATTAGCATGGAGTATGAGAGTCTGGGGAAAACTGGCCTTACTAGAACAATGAGGAGTGTTATGCCTGAGACCCTTTTGAGGGCTGAGAAAAGAGAAAGAGAATTGAAAAGAAGAAATAAAATAAAGGAGTGAGGCTACAAAAAAAAAAAAAGCCCAGAAAGGTCATAGGAACTCCTGCCCTGACTTTCATTTCCTCAACCCCCAGGGCCCCCCTATTGTCCTTGACCTTCTTCTCTGCTTTAATATTGAATTCTACTTGCCAGTTGCTTAATATAGGCTTTTTTTCCAGAGGGTTTCCTTTTTATAATATCTTCCCCAACTTTAAAATTTCTGTCCTTTAGCATGTTCTGAAAGAAAACACTAACATGCCCAAGAATGGGGTGAAGCTATCTCTGTGGTCCTGCAGGAGAATTCAGAGGACCAAAACAAATACCCTTGGTATAATTGACAAAGTAGAATCTTCTTTAGTTGAAAATGGTATTCCTATCCTGTCTTTCCCAACTTATTCTCACTAGCCATGGTGTTGTTACATTAAAAAGAAGGCAGGAAATACTCCTTGCTATTCAGGGGCAGGTAATTCTTTAAGCCCTTTTAAGCCATTACTTTTGTAGGTTGCTGTTGTCTTCTTCATATCTTTATGTGCTCATTATCGTTGTGAGGCAACCTTAGAGATAATCTAGTGAAAACAGGAGAAAGGAAAAGGGGGACGGAGGAGATAATGATGATAATTGAACAAGCAATATGTAATAATGATATTTTATGGTAAAATAGAAGAGAGTAACATAAAACAGAAATAATTTTCGTTTTGAAATATGTATCAATAGTTGACAAATTCAATGAAAATATAGTATTGTCTAGTCTAGATTCTAAAGCAATTTTTAATTTCTCTAGACTTAAAAAGTGACATCAGATTTTAAAATTAAGCACTTTTTAATGTCAAGTCAGTAGTAGATGTGCTTTGTATTCATAGTTCTAGCCAGAGAAACCCAGGGTGCCGTGAACTGGAGCAAGTCTGCAGCTAAACCATGCTTTTGGTTTTCTTCTAGCTGTGGCATAAAGATAACATTTAGGAACCAGCTCTCTCTTTCACCTGTCATTTTTGTGTATACTTTGTACTTTTGTACCACTATTAACTAATTCCTTTGGCATTTTGAAGACAGCTTGGTCAAAATTTTATCCATATTTGAAAGGCTATTTATAAAATGGCATTGTTATTTGGATATAAGAGCATGAGACTATTGTTATTAAATTGGTAAATTCTTGGCAACCTAATTGTTTGGGTTGGCAAGGATTCTTTCAGTAACCATGTTAGAAAAGCAGAAGCAAAGGAGGGGTCTAAAGTAAGATCATCACCAAAAGGATTTTCTTGCTTTGGGAAAAGTTGTTTTTACAAGAAAAATCTTGAAATATTTCATATTTACAAAAATGAAATGAGTTTTATTAGCAGATACAATTTTGGTATTCTAGAAACTACAAAATACCTTCTCTATTAGAGTTAAGGATACACTGAAATAAAAAAGAAACAAGAATAATGAGATATTCTAAATACAAGTCAAGTAGATAAGGAAGCAAGGCAATTTGAGAGAAAAAAAGTGAATCGTCCTTTGCCATTGAAAGAGCCATTAGCACTTATATTTAGCTTTAGAAGAGAGGAAAAAAATGAATATATTTCTACTGATTTTGAAATTATTGTCTAATAGTCATCTTTTTCCACAGAGCCCACCTGAATGACCTTGAAAATATTGTTCCATTTCTTGGCATTGGCCTTCTGTATTCTCTGAGTGGTCCAGATCTGTCTACAGCCCTCCTGCACTTCAGACTCTTTGTTGGAGCACGGATGTACCACACGATTGCGTATTTGATACCCCTTCCTCAGCCAAATAGAGGTTTGGCTTTTTTTGTAGGATATGGAGTTACTTTTTCAATGGCTTACAGGTTGCTGAAGAGTAAATTGTACCTGTAAAGAGAATCATACAACTCATCATTAAATTGGTTTTTTAAAAATTCTGTACTTCTCACCGGAGCCCAGCAGGTGAGGCTGCGGTGGCCAGGAGCGGCCACTGCACTCCAGTCTGGGTGACTGAGTGAGACTCCAACTCACCAAAAAAAAAAAAAAAAAATTTCTGTACTTCCAATTTATAATAAATACATTCCTAGGTGTTAGGTAGGAGGGCAGCAGGAAAATTTAATGGGGGAAAATCCATTTTGAATATTAGCATCACCTATATTCTTGTTTTATCTTTGTACTAGAAATTTAATGTAATAATTCATAAACTTTCTGTCTTATTCTTAAAGTACTTTGTTGTAGTAAAGATTGATGATGTTATGATTTGTAACATTCATCCAACATTTGATATTTTCAATCTATAAAATAGTTGTGTGTTTGAGAAACATATTTTAATACTACTGAAATAGACATAGGAAATAAATAATTTAAAGGATAATTTTGTTTGGTTTTATTTTTTCCTGCCTTTTGTTTTTTAGAGTTTCAAGCTTGTGGAAAAATGAGAAAAATAGTACAGTGAAGCTGTCTATAACCTTCATCTAAACTCACCAATTGTTAGCGTTTTGCACATTTGTTTTAACTCTCAACTTTTTTGAAAGTAAGTTATAGATATCAACATGTCACTCCTTAATACTTCACTAAGGAGTATTTTTTTCTTCTGTGAACAAAGTCTTCTCTAAGTAACCACAAAATCATTATCACACCCAATAAATTAACATTAGTATAATATTATTTATTATGTATAGTCCTTATTAAAATTCTCCAATTTTCCCAGTAATAGTCTTTATAATTATTTTTTTTTAACCAGGAAACAAACAAAGGCCATACACTTTTTTCTGTTCTCATTTTTACTTCGTTTTCATTAAATTAAAAGTTCATTTTCTTTCTTATTTCTTTTTTTGTCTTTTATGATTTTGACATTTTTTGGAAGAGTTCAGACCAGTTGTTTCACAATGATCCTTAAATGGGTTTATCTGTTATTTTCTAATTCTTAAATTCAGATTAAACATTTTTGATGATGTATCCTTCACATTGCAGTAAATCAATAGGCATATGACACCATTTTCACCTGTTACTGATAACATTAAATTTGATCAGTTTAGATGATAGTATCAATCAGATCTGTCCATTGTATAGGTACCTTTTTATCTTTATAATCCACGTGGGTTGATAAATTGAGACTGTATGCGTATTCTCTCTCCCTGCAAACTTTCACTTTGTAGGTTTAGAACCCAGAGATGCTCAGTGCTCACTTTGATTTCTACATAAAAATATATAAGCAGCTGGGCAGATGGCTCCTGTTAACAATTCCAGCCAAGGTGAGAGAATTGCTTGAGCACAGGAGTTGATACCAGCCTAGGAAACATAGTGAGATCTCATCTATACAAAAAAAAAAAAAAAAAAAACCAGGTGTGGTGGTGCACAGCTGTAATCCTAGCTACTCAGGAGGCTGAGGAAGGAGGATTGCCCGAACCCAGGAGGTCAAGGCTGTGATGAGCCATGATTGTGTCACTGCACTCCAACCTGGGTAACAGTGAAACCCTGACTCAAAAAA